GTGGGCCTGCTCTAGCGTCTACTTTCGAGCTTTACCCTGTGCCTAGGCAATATTTTGTTTCACCTTGAGTGCGATCTACCCTCTGGCCATGTGGTCTCCGTAGGCGAGCAGGAAAGGGGTTACCTTGTCACCCTACTGAAAAACTATGTAAGTAGTAAAGGTGGCGATTTCTTAGTTCTTGCATATCTTCTATTTAAAGGGTATCCTCAATAAGGATATTGGTGTTCACTGCGATCCAAATCTGCTACCACCACCAAACCATGTGATGGTGAATCACCTCTACGCTCTCTCCATTAAGGTGGGTACAGGTTTCCCTTGCTTTTTCCTTGTTTGGCAGTGTGTTGGAGAAGTTGCTATTGACGTTGTTTCCTCCTTTTAAGGATGGGGTGGTTGTACTGAGCGTAATTACACGCTACCGACAGAAATTTGTCTCCACCCTCTTCTACAAACCCATAGCCAACTGAAGCAACCGAAGGTGATAATGCTGTCATTTTACAGTTCTCTCTTGTCTCTCTCCCTTCCCCTCAGCCCCAGCTGTCGCATTTCAACTCCACGATTTGATTACTCTACTTCCCCTTCTCCTCCTCATTGTTATTGTTGCTACTTGTGGACGCGCATGGGATTCCATGGGCTTATGCATGTGCTTATATGTACACATGTGAGTACACAAATATACATATTTTGCAAGCACCTCTACCTCCTTCGCCCCTGGGGATGCAGGTAGGTAGGCAAATAGCGAGCCGAGAGGCATAGATTGCGGTCGGGGAAGAGAATCCAACGCTTAAAAAGAGAATGAGGCGTAAAATTTTGACAAGTGTTGTTATTTTTCCCATATATTTACCCACTCGAGGTTGCCAGCCTCTGTCCGATTGGTGACACGAGCAAAGGATCGACGATCTTACTTTCATTCAACAACCTGAGGTTTCTGATTGTGACTTCGTGGTGATAAGAATGTGGCCTGCCTCTCTTGCATTTACAAACCAGCATCGTCTCACACTTTCCTGGTCTTCACTTGTCCCCTTTCAATAGAATGTCCCGGAGATCAGGCATTTGCGTGCCGTCTCAATGGAGCTATCAGCCTTTTTTGAAAGAAAAGTGAGTTTAGCTTGTTTAAAACCTGCTTAGGCAGCAGTTTACCTGTATAGGTAGCAGGGCAAAGGCTAGCAACTTATGCCTAGATACATAAAAGACATTTTTTGTTTGTATGGGTGTTAGGAAGCTTGATAATGGTACTTCATTATAATCTTGGCTAGACGGACGAATTTAAGGCATATGGACTGACATAAGTTTCTTTTCCTCACTGGCATCCATCCGGTTTCCACTCAGGTAGTAGTGAAATAGAGGCGGTGTAGCTTGGTATACTTTTTCATTTGAGGGGAGCAGACGTGTCGGCGACAGGCTTTTTCTGATGGGCATAGATAATATTGCTTTAGCTTTTCATACCATTAACACAGTAAGCGGGCTTTGGCTGTTTGCTGAATGTCAGAAATCCTTATAAACCTTCTATTTGATGGCCTTGCGGAGTTTTTCACTCCGTCTCGTTTCAGACTGCGGCAGAAGATGCAGTGCTGATGTACTGAATGGCAGAAGGGCTGTTGACAGATGGGCTAGGGATGTTTCGATGTTGCAACCTCGGATAATCGAAATTTATGTTTACGACTCTTCGTTTCACATAAATCCAAAGCCCTCGAAAGCAGCTAAAGACCTCCATACCTCGGCTTCTTGCCCGTCTTTTAATAAAATTCGACTGAAAGGGTTGGAGCATTATCATCCCCTTGAGAAGAAACGAAGACTAGAAGCAGCTTGTCCCCAACATAGGTGAGCTTCGTAGAAGAACATTGAGATGTGTCTCGGTGGCGCAGCTGTTTTGGTTGTGCTTTCTCCCATTTAAATTATTCTCATGGAGTCGAAAGCTTTTGAAGGTCTCGAAACAACAGGCTTCCGTTGGCCAAACCGTTCTTAGGAGTGCATGCGTCAAAGCAGAC